AACCTTGTCAAAGTCTTGCTTGTTCCCATTGTGAAACTTGTACCAAAATCCGTGTTTTGAATAGGCACCTTTCCATGGGTCTCCAACTGCCTTTGGCAACTTATTGGAGAAGACCTAAGAGTATCATAAATCACTGGCTGAAGAGCGACTATAGATTTCTGGGGCCAAATCTTATTGAAATGGGAAAAGAAAGATGGCACAAATTAATTGGTTATACGCTCATTCAACGAAGGAGATCATTCAAGATTCGAAGTAGAAGACGTATACCTGCATCTCGTATGGCTGACCAGGAATTTCGGGTTTTTGTCGCTTGAGCACATCTTTGAACGGCTCGAGCGTCCTCTGAACCATCACTGTTGGGGACTGATCTAATGGGAAGTGCCCTTCGCCATAACAATATCAAATGAGCTGCGATTTTACAACGCGAATGCCACAAATTGTCGCATTTCGATGCGATTGGTGGATTGTTGCAAGGGAGCTCATCAAAACGATAACAACTTCAATCTTCTCTGTACTGCATTAATATTTACCAATCAGGATACAAGCAGAATAGAAATAGTGGTATTTACATTTTATCATCTTATATTATTCTTATCTTATTGGAATCATCAAAAATAATTTAACTTCTTTCTATTCTGTCATCAAGTAATCTTAAGAGATATACTTAGTAAGACGAAAATCTGAATTTGCATCACTTACTTTATGCTGAGAAGATTAAGCAATTAAGATACAAATTGCTTTTTAGTCAAATATGCAAAGTCTGCATTTAAAGAAGTGTATATACCTCAACTAGGCCGTCCGGAAACAAGACTGTAGCAATCTGATGCAAGCTGGAAGTCGTTTTAGGGATGAGCAAGGTTTAGGTACGACTCCCGAAAGTCCGAGAATTGTTTCTGTCTTTACCTTGCCTATCTGATAGTCAAATGTACAACTTTGTAGGCGAACAGGCTACCCAAACTGCCATAAAATTTGGGAATGAGATGCGCAATAAGAAGAAGTATGTAAAATCTTGAATACGCGAGTAAATTTAGCAGTATCTTTTTGGGTCGTCGGCTAGGACCTAAGAAAAACCTGAATCTGAGGTTTTTGAATGGCAAAAACTTTCGTCTTCCACACATTCACTTTCCTTTCATCAGGCACATTAGGCGTTATCTAATCCATCTTACGGTGTAATTAGGTCAAAGTAGTTCTCCCCTTCTTTGCTAGAGGCCGAAATCAGTTAAGCCTTAGGTGCTTTAATGACGACGCAGTACTTATCCTGTTTGCACGTGCTCGCACATCTGTATTGTAATTTACTGCAAAAATGAATAATTC